CCACACAATCTCTAGTCTCGCTGAGCTTCTATCCCAATCCCATACCGGCTTCTATCCCAATTCCGGCTCAACTAATTATCAGCCCCCCCCCCCCTCCATGGGCTCCATACCTATGTTTATTCGCTAAACATACATAGGTACATTTAGGTGCATCAAGGGAGGTCAAACACGCCCAACGACGCTCAGGAAAACGAATGACTAACAGCAATGGAAATATCATTTACTCGCCGGTCCGTCCTTTGAATGCGGAAAAAGAACGCGCTATGACTGGGCGAATTTCGAGACTGGCCAAAAGCAATCACAGCCCGCTCCCAATATCCCGCTTGCTGTCCCTCCACCGGCACATTACACAATGACACGTGTATTTCACCTGCATTATATATTATTTCGCTTGCAATGTGGTATGTGCCCTTTCCGGTCGAAGCATGTGCCCTATGCCACCTTTGGGACGCAGTAAAAAATCCTTAAAATATGCCCTGCGGCGGCCCGGCGCGGTTGGCGCTGCACTACGGCCGCGCCGCCGCCAGTCGCAGCAGCCGCCTGCGCGCTCCGCGATACTGCGCCGCTTAACTCGGGGACTTGAACGGGCCGTGCGTCACTAGCACCGACCGCCTTCCGCCATGTGCAAAATTCGCTGATTCGGCGGCACCGCTGCATTCCAAACAGAAACGGAAATTCCCGGTGGTAACAGACATCTGGACACTTCCAGATCATCTTGGTAACTTTGAGAGGAGCGTCTTCTGCAGGGATGAGTTATTGTCGCTCGAGACGCATTACATAACGCGGCAGTTATGTAACGAAGGATGGGGGATCTGTCGCCCGTGTTTCTATATGGAGGGATACCTTATCTGCCGCTTCTTTCCTGGTTTTGAATGGAACTCTCGGAATTAAATCAGAATCTTATTTCGATAGCTTTGAATGAATTCTTTTGGCATGACCAATAGTCATATATTGTCATTCATGCAGGGGCGGATCCAGAAAATCTCCAAGGGAGGGGCCATTAGAAACCAGGAGGCCCCCCCCCCATAATCCCACCTGTTGGAGGCCCCATCTTCCCACTTGTTGGGCCCCCCCCCCCCCAAAAAAAAAACTGCGTCTATTGAGCTTATCTAGCTGTTCAGGCAACATCTCAACATCTGTGCAGGCTTGGAGGCCCTCTGTGCAGGTTAGGAGGCCCTGTAAAAGTGGTCATCTCTGTGAGTATAAGAGACCTCCAAGTTATGAAAAGCTTTACCAATCTTCTAACAAAGAAGTCTTCTCAGCTAGTCTTCTAAGAAATAACTAAGTGAGTAGGTTAAAAAAAAAAACTCATCGGATTTCGGCCACTTTATTTTCAGGAGGCCCCCTTTTCAGCTTTTTAACTTTTTAACTTTTTATTTTATTTTTGAAAAAAAATCGGCCAAGGGGGGGCCATGGCCCCCATGGCCCCCCCCTTGTATCCGCGCCTGCATTCATGAACCCAAAAGAATTAATATAAAATATACATGTTTATTCTACTACTTGGAATTTTTCGCGAGCTAGTCGAAAGCAGCAAGCGAATGCTCACACCAGTCATTTACTTGCATGATGCTTCTTTAAGCATAATGCATTATTACTAGTTTATAATGTTTGTGAGATATACATAAATAATGTGTAACTCACCAGACATAGTTCGATTCTACATTGCAGGGACGCTGCTTTGAAGCTCCTACCTCTAATGCTGTTTTAAAGTAACATCTATTCTAGACTAGTCTCCCTTTGAATTAGTCAGTTTTATTTCGTCTGCATTTCATTCAATGGAAGCAAGTGCATCTCATAAATGTGAAGCTTAGATAGCATACGAGTGTATGGTAGCGGTGAATGTCAACAAACATGCTTTCAATTAGCATAAGGGCTTGCAAAGTAAAAATAAAAATATTGATATCTGCTTTAGACCACTTTAGACAAGCTTTCTGCTCTATTCCCACTTACTCCAAGTAATTGAATATTTTAAGATTTTTGAAGAAAGCCGATATAAATTCATAAGGCTACAAATATCTTAGGCTCCCTTTCGGACGAACTACAGGTAGTTTGATGGCTGGTCTGTGCTCTGTGCCGCAGTTTGAGCGCGACGTGCGCATCTGGAACAACAAGGACCACCTGCCGCAGCCGGGCCTGGTGCGTGAGGACGCCACCATCCTCAAGTACCGGCGCTGGTTCTCCCAGTTCTACTCGGAGAGCTCGCGCCGCCCACTGCGGCCGGTCGACGCTCTGGAGCTGTAGGGCGGCTCACCCAGTCCCCAGGCCGTTCGACAGACGCTGCGGCACTGCCCGCGGGCCTCTGAACTGTGCGACTGCTGCCGGGGTCAGGCGCTGGAGGGTGGCATTTAGTTGTGTGTTGAACAGGCGCTGTCGCGACTCGCCTGTGTCCGGCTGACGGAGCGGGGTGGTCAGGCGCGGGGTTTAGCAGGGTGTGTGTCTGCTGTACGGAACATAGCCGTCGCCGGCGGCCCGGTAGAGGCTGGTCATGACATCACTGTCCAACTAAAACCGTTGCACTGAAAGTGAGCGTGGATTGTGGTTAGATGCTTAAGTTGTTCAGCTTAGGGTTTTCCAGGAATAACCACATGCACGATCCCGTGGCATTGAGCTCCCCGTAGCGGCGCTCACTATACACCTGTGCAGGTGCAAAGGCTGTTTCTCAGTTTCCGTGCTGATCTTCGTAGATCGATGTGGTCAGTGATTGAGGTAGTCGTGTGGTCGCGCTATTAGTTCGTTAAGTCAGGTGGTTATAAAACAGCACCAATGGCAAAATGCTTACCTTCTAAGAATCACTTCCCGTTTTGTATAGAAAAGAATGCATGTATGGCTATAAGTTAGCTGATGCTAATTATCACAATGGGTAGGAAGGCGCGGTGAGATGGCGCTATAACAATTACCTTCCAATAAGGCCAGACTTCCGATGTGTGTGTGTGTGTGTGTTTTTTTTTTTTTACCTGATGCTATCGTACAATTAAAGATGCGCAGTTCTTACATTGATTTTAGCATGAACTAACTTAGCAGTAGAAATCCATAGCTCAACTTTTGCAATAGAATGCTTTTGTAGGAGGCAATTCTTCTTGTGAGGTACTCTGTGTAATTATTTTACATGACATTGAACGTGGACCAAATGTTAACAGGGTGTACTATATTTTTCGAACTTTTATATGACTACCCGACACCCGATCGTGGACTTTTCTCGAGCCCTGATGAATCAACACATTCATTGTCCTGCAACACTTCGTACGTTGCCAGACGCTATTTTAGACATAGAGATCTTATATGTGTTACTTTACATGTATGTGTATAAGATCTCTATGATTTTAGCGCTATGTGTTACATCATCTTCATTGTGTGAACCGTCGGTTTGAATGTGTCAAGGCTTATAATACATAACAAAGCCTTGAACTGTTTTTCTTTGTAGCTGTTGTAAATGTATACGCGGTGGCATGACATGCTCGGGAATATCAATTACAACAGACAAGAAGAACACCAGAATGAATTTCATTGATTTATTACACGAGTTCCAGTGGTGGCGGAACACCTTCAATTAAGGGGGGGGGGGCACTGCCGACTGTTGGTCTCATTCTTTCCATGCAACGCCCATAGGGCTAATGTTAAAATGCCAAAAGCAAAGGGGGCACGGTGCCCCGGTGCCCCCCCCCCCCCGTTCCGCCGCCTATGACGAGTTCGACGCTCTGCCCGTACCCTAGCATATGGTCCGCCCGACTTCTGCTTCATCCTGCTTATCCCCATTTCTTACCCCTACCCATCCCTCTCCTTCCTGATCTTCTGCCCTACACCTACCACTACTCCTACCACTACTCGGGCTGCACTTCTACTCCTATATTCACTCCTACATCTACTCTCATCAAAATGAAGAGTGATTAGTTTGTATACAAATAAACGAATCTCATGGCTGCGTTAACCCTAGAACGCCTAGGGGGGGGGGTTGTATCAACCCCCCCCTGAGGTTTTTTCGAAGTGCACGCTAAACGGCTTGCCGTAGCGGGCTGAAATTTTCAAAACCCTCTGGGGCAACCTTTGCGCATCTTTTGCCGAAAAAAAATTGATCGGGTCGTGTCAGGTCACGGAGTTATGACGTCATAAGAGGTACAGCCTCCGGCCGGATTTTCACAAACTGAGTGCCAACGCCCGAGGTTTCCTGCCGGTGGTACGGACATCGGTTGATGGATCGTGATGAAACTTCCCATGCATGTTAGGGCAAGTATTGGCTATCATATGGTATAAGAAATTTGACCGGGTCAGGTCAGGTCACGGAGCTATGACGTCACAAGAGGAACAGCGTCCGGTACTATTTTTGAAAAGCGCCCGAACCACTATTTTGCTAATTCTTGTCACCTCAATGGGAATATGCAGCAATATTAGCTTCTATAGGGAGCAAATGGACCTCCCAAATCCAAAAATACAATCAGATTTCAAAAATTTAAATTTTGATTTTTCGAATTTCTGTCGCCGACTGTGACCTTGCCGACTTCCGGCGCTCCCAACGCGCCATTTTTAGAGCTAGGGAAACGAAATACATACCAAACGATAGAGAATTGATCAAGGAACACGATAGTGAAGGTTTCAAGTGGATATCTCCCACCGTTTTGCCGCAATCGCCGCCGAAAGTTGAAAAAAGTCTATTTTTCCGAAAATTTGACCTTTGACCGGTCAAAAGTAGGTCAAATGTTGACCTAGGACCAAAAAATATACCACCAATCGCGAGATCTCGTTGAGAGCAATCCGTTGGTTTTTTCCGCTAAGCTCTACGACCTTCCGTTTCGAAACGCCAGGGGGGGGGGTCGTAACAACCCCCCCCTGGTCGTTCGTGTTATGAGAAATGGCCTGGTCGTGCGAGGGTTAAATAAAAAATGTAGCAAACTATAATTGGCGTGGCATTGTTATGAGGAAGAGGTTATTTCAGACTACTGACACTTCGAAAACGCAGGCATTAAGCATTGCTATAATGTACAGTCGATATTATGGAGAGACAAATATGTATAGAGAGGCATGTATTGTGCCTTATATTTCATGCGAAATGACTATCAAATAAATAATTCTATGGAAACACGTTTATAGAGCGCGTCAACGCGCAATATCTGTTCAGGCCTAGGCCGTCAACTTTTTTTTAAATTTCATCCGTACGAATGCTCGTTTCCTGTGCATCAGATGTATCTTGCCTTTCAAAACGATGCAAGCTATTAAACATTCTCTACCTGATTCTGATGGCTTTCTACAGTATGTGCAAGCTGCAATGATCTACCATTTGCGTTCATATGTGTATGGCAATGAACAATAGCAGCCTGTAAGGTTGCATGAAACACACATTATGAATGCCAAAATAGACTGCAAAGATAGTATTTGTTCGCGGTAGTATCAAATAAAACAACAAAGAGCAATCGTGTGCAAAAAAACACATTAGAAGCAGCTACTTCACCATAAATGCCTTAACCTTGCCATGCATTGTACTCGCTTGCTGCTGATCATAATGGATCTGGCCCCTTAACATTTCATGGTCCTCCTTATCATATGGCCGCGAATACGATAAAACGTTAAGCTCATCCACAGCGCAAGGAGCTAAAACATTAAGTGATACCGGAAAGGCTACTTATTTATGATATACTATGACAATGTGGGCTAATAATCATCAGTAAACGTCATGCGGACACACAGAGCTTGCATTTTCGTATTGCCGTCACATCATTTAAGCCCAAGTAACGCAAAAATCGTCATGCTTGTAAAGCTGTCCTTCACTTTCCACTCCTCGCTCACGCTTCACACATACTGGCTGTACGCACCTACGCAATACGCATATCATTAAGCACAGATTAAGCACTCTTCCGACGAATAAAAACATGATAGTCAATATTCAATCGCATTCCCATAACCGTGTGATTAAACAAGCGATGGCGTAAATGCGCTAGCACCACCTATCTATCCGCATTGATACGTCGTTCTGGCAGTTGACATACCATTTTTAAAAGTGCTAGCTATGATAAGGTGCAGATACCTATGTGTGCACTGTGCAGCGACCCGTCGATGTGCGGAAAGAAGTTCCGCATACAGGGTCACATGACTTACTACTGGGCGCTCTCTTCCCTCCCTCCCCCCTCTCGCTCTCTCTCTCTCTCTCTCTCTCTCTCTCTCTCTCTCTCTCTCTCTCTCTCTCTCTCTCTCTTTCTTTCTCTCTCTCCGGGCGCCCTCCCTCTCTCTCTTTACCCCACCCTGGATAGAGTGGCGGGCATCCGATGCTGCACGACGTGTTATGCGCCTTCGCGGCGTTCACACGACAAAGAGGTCCTCCTCTTTCGGATCTTCGGAGGGCAGAGGGCCATGGCGCACTCGAATTCGCTGGAACATCATGCCGCAGACGTCGAAACAGGGCGCCAGTGTGGCCTGCATGCACACGCGGTTGACTGCGCGCACGAAGTTGCAGTTGATCTTGCACTGTCGCAAGCACGGAGTGTTGCACCAGATGTGCTGCGGAAAAACGGAGGGTGGGTGTCAGTCATAGTTGCGATCGGGTGGAGAAAGGGGGGAGGGGATACCTATAGCTTCACCGTCTCCTTCCTTATCCTGGTATATTAACTTTGAACAGCAAATTATTACAAAAGTCGTTCTGTGGTGAATTGATGTACTTGAAGGTCGAATCTGATAGAGATTATATTTGAATCATGTGACACAAATAAGTAGCATATGAATTATGCATATATGTACATTGTACAGTCTTTCTTAAAAGTACCACGCAAAGTGACGGTGGATCCATCAAGCCTAACCGAGGAAGGGCCTGCTTTAATTTGAAAGTCACCGAACCAATTGACCTGGAATGGACGAGAATGTCAATTGCTTCGGTGACTCAAATTTAGCAGGCCCTTCCTCGGTCAGGCTTGATGGCTCCACCGTTTCTTTGCGCGGTACTTCTAAGACAGACTGTACATGTAAGCTATATATTCACCATTGCTACACGGATGAAGGAGTATCTACATCCAGAAACGTGGTCTAGAAAAAGATGAGTTTGCCATAGGCCTTGATTATGGCGCAAGGTAAGTATTCTTTTTCTGGTACATATAATGAACATCTAAATTATTTTCATGATTAACTTTTCCAGCAAAGGCAGCTCACTTATTACCTTTGGACTTTTGATCTCATTTATATGCTGAATATGAATGCCGCTTGATTTTAATGATCAGCTTTTTATGATTAATCGTTAGTAATCCTGCTAAAACACCGAAGCCATGTTAGGCAGACAAGATAACTTTCGTCAGATTTATTTCATTAACTACATCATGCCGATGCCGGGTAGGATGAGGTAATTTTGCCATGACGTTTACAATTAAATGGAAATAATTTTGACGGTGCCTTATAGTCAAGGTCTTTTCCATTTCTACTACTATAAATTATGTGAACTTTTCATATAAGTATTCATTGCAATCCTAATCATCATAGTCAATTTGATTGTATTTTGAGGCGTGTTTTGATCCCTGCAATCATGCCCATCGTGCCAGGTGCAGTGGTCAACAGACCAATCTGTTCAAGAGAGGTCACTTTGTACCAGCCCCAGGCTACGCTGAGCCAATTTCCGGCAATGCTCCAGAACGATCGCCGCTATAAGCCCGGATATTCACTCATGAGGGTGTGGAAGCCGGAGGCGGCCGGTGCACCAGCATGACCCTGGTGTTCCTGCTGTGAGCACCGCGATCTCCCCTCGCGCAGTCCGTCACTACTCTCCACACTCTATCTCCACCCTCCGCTCCCTCCCCACGTCCAGCAGCGCCCCGAGCACCCCTCTCTCCCTCTCACCCTCGCTCTATCCGGCGCCCAGACGAGGCGGAAAAGGTGCGTCGGCCAACGACTGGCCGCCGCGCCGCCGAGCGGGGCAACTGCGTACGTCCCGTTCACCGTCGGCTCGACCTCGTAAATCGGCCCGCTGGGTCGTCGGACGGTGGCCGGCCGCCGGATTTTCCGTGGGTGCGGCTCGACAACCAATTTCAGTAGCACGCTGACAGGAGCGTGGCTCAGTGGCGTTACATGATCAAGTCAATAGGCAAATGCTATATTGCAGCTATTTAGCGGCCTAAAGACGTCACAACGAGTCAGTTATTATGCATTGAGTGATTGTAATGTTGAGTTATCACTAATTTCGTGAGAAAAAGGGTGTGGCAGTGAGAAAATAGAGGGGTATTGCTCATTACAAGATAAGGATCGGCCTAAAAGATGTTCTATGACCATGTCTGGCTGCATGTTGTACGGCGGAAAAGAAATTGAAAGTCGGACAATTACACGTGATTATTTCTCATGGAATTTAGCATGAAACTAGGCGGTTGTCTTCTGGGTAAAGTGCTATTTCATTTCCAACCTGCTATATAAAGACTTGCCAGTAACATTGGACGTACGCAGCACTTCAAGGATTTAGAGCCGTGCTAAGGCCCCCCTTTAACTGACTCTGCAACAAAGTTAAGAAAGGGTGCCAGAACACCGATTAAAAAAGCTGAAATACCGTTTGAATGGACGGATAGCCGGAGCCTACGCTACGCAGATCTTGTTGTGTAGGCCCAGATCCTTAAAGGGAGATAATGAGCTTTCTTTTTTCTTAAATAAAAATTACTCGACATCTATACTATTTCTACTGTAGTTTCTATAAAATATGAAAATTTCGTAGCACATTTTCGTATGTGAAAAAGGTTTTTATTTTTGCAAAAAAGAAGCAGTACTTGCAGTACTTGTAACACCCACCGAAATGCGTTGTCCTTCTCTATAAAAAAGTCGCAGTATATGGTGCTTTTGTTTCAAACAGCGACGCTTGGGTTTTTGTTTATGTTATCGCCTTGTCGTTGCTTGGTTGTAAGGATTCTAATTTGAATTAGAGTTAATTCGGTTTAGAATTAATTAGATTCTAATTCGGGGGTACATAGTGCCTACTCTTCTTTGTTTCCAAGTAGGTAATAGGATTATTTTGCGCCACAAATGAACGGCATGCGCCAGAAACGCAGCCAAATCTTGCGATTGCGACTACGAAATTCATTATTTTGGCGTCAGAGCCTGAAGCGAAAAATACAAGCATATTTATTTCAAAAAGACTTCAGGTTTGTCGAACAGTGTTATGAGAATTTTGATTACGGAGCGAGCGAAGCGAGCGTAGTCTTTCCTTAGATTAACGGAAATTTCTGAGTATGAGCGGCCGGCCGGCCGGCCGGCCGTGGTCACGCTTTTGCGAGGCTTATATCTCAGCAACCACTTGACCGATTTACACGCGGTAATTTTTGTAGGGTAGCTTCATTCCTTTTACCAAGTATTGGACTATTCCCGATGCATGTTGGTGACCCCTTATGCACGTGCCACGTGCAAAACGAAGAGGTGTCAGTTTTGTAATTTTTGCAATATCTCGGTAACTACTTGGCTGATTGCACTGAAAGGTGGCATGTAGGTAGGCACCCACCAGGCACTGCATATACATGTGCCAGAGTTGGGGTGCTGCTGCACGTGCGCACGTGCAGGGGTCGTTTCCAGATCTCGGGAACGGCTGGACCGATTGCGCTCAAATTTGGTACACGGTTAGGGACCGGTTAGTAGGGTGCCGTGCATAAGTCAGTTGGGACCCATTTTGCACGTGCGCACGTGCAGGGTGCCGCTTCCAGATCTCGAGAACGGCTGGGCCGATTGTGCCCAAATTTGGCACATCGCTAGAGACCAGCTAGTAGGGTGCCGTGCACAAGTCAGTTGGAGGTACCCCCTCGCAATTTCGCACGTGCAAGGCCCACCCTCTCGCTCGCTCCGTTAGTCGCCCCAAAAGGCGTTATACTGGTAACAGTACTGCATAAGTTTTTCAGTGATGCCGCAAAAGTGTTGTATCTATCTTCTTTTATTGTGCAGTCGGCGGGACCGATTGAAAATTGAGTCGTTGCTACTAAAATAGCAGCATATGGCGTCAGATGATGAACAGGAAAAATAGTTGCGTAAATTTAGACATAAACCACCCCCAAACCATGAACATCTTTTGAAGGCACTATAGACGACCATTAACTAACTAGATGTGATGAAGAGCAAATGTAAGGAATACGCTCATTTTACAAAATTACATGCAAGTACCAAAAAGTGATGTAAGTACTTATTCAACGGTCATTTTCAGCGCTTCGCGCTAACGTGACTTCAAGTTGAGATATTTGCGGCAAGGTACCGAATTGAGCAAAATGGTTTTAATTTACATTATAACTTGTTGTGTTTTGTCAGAAAATGGTCCTAACTCAGATTTTGTGGAAAAAGGTCATTATCTCCCTTTAACGTCCGATCGCGCAATTCCAGGTTATTCGGGCTCGGGCTCCCCGTGTCAGATTTTTTTATACCAACGTGCAACGTGCCCGATGTATCAAAGCCGGTCACGGCCTCTCCCACAAAATTGACCTCAACTGGTTGCGGCTGCTGACCAGTGTTCGCCATGGGCCGGGCCAGCCCAATGGACCATGGGCTGGGCTGGGCTACGGGCTGGGCTGGGCCCTCAAATATGAAAGATCGATGGGCTGTGGATGGGCTGGGCCATGAACTGTTAAGTGGAGTCAGGGGCTCACAACTGAGACAAAAACTATAACTACATAGCTTATTACTGTGCAAGACTCAAAAACGAGTCAATAACCCGGCCGGGCCCGGGGGGTAATCCCAACCACCGCAGCTCGGGGGGGCGTTTTTCGCCCCCCCCCCCCTGTCTAATTCCGTAAATAAGGGAGCTACGGAAACAAAAGCGATACCAAACGAAAGGTCCTTACGAGACGATTCTAAAGCACCTAAAATTTTTGACCTCAGGTCAATTTTCAAGGTCAGAGGTCAAGGTCAAAGACAAAAACCGGCACATGTGTAGTGATCTCAAAGTAAGCCTTCTAGAGGACGGCAGGCTGCATCAAACCGGCAAAATTGGGTGTCAAACAAAAGAAGAGAATCTGAGGATTCCGAAACTGTGCTCAAAATCAAAGGTCAAGGTCAAGGTCACGCTCAAAATTGACCTCAAACTTGGCACTTTTTCGCACATCTTGCGTGCTAACTTCCAAGATGTTTTGAAATGTTTTGAGGCTTATCAGTTCCCTATTTGTGGTTCATCTTACGATACAAGGCTGCTCAAAGGTGAAGGTTACAGAAGAGTATCCCTGCTAGAGGCTATTTCACTAATTCAAGTTAGTTATAATAAATAAGACAACTTTGCCATCCGGAAGCTCTAAATGAAGGCTGAGAGGAAAATAGATGCCAGATTCGTGATCAGCGGATACAAATCCATCATAAACGACCTTTCATGTGTCAAGGTCAACCAGAGGTCATTCGAGGTCACATGAGGTCAGCATAAAATTTGACCTTTTCCGAACAAAATATATATCATTCGACGCGGCTTGACAAGGCGAATGCGATGGTACCACTGCCGTAGCTCTAGGACCATTTTTGTCGAAGTTATTTGCGAAAAACTAAAACCACATTTCGGGGTCGTTGACCTGACCTCTGACCTCAGGTCACCAAAACTATTTTTCTATTTTTCTCTAGGTCAAACGCTACACAACCGTGCTCGTAATTTGTCTTTATCTCTAAAACTCTATTTTTAGCAGCTATTTGAAGTTTGCGTCTGTGACGCCGAAGTTTGCCGTGCAGGGGTCTAGAAAAATGGACCTTGTGACGTCATCAAGGGGGCTAGGTCCAAATTTTTTACTTCAGAAGATGTCAAATTGATAGGAGAAAAGGTACTGAAAGTTTTGCTTTCCTATCCCTAAGCGTTCGGCAGCTATCGCAAATATTCGCCAGGGGGGGCGAAAAACGCCCCCCCCCGGGCCCGCGAGGGATAAAGCACGCACGCAATGTGCATTGTGTATGCGGCTCGCAAAATATTGTTTCTTTGCTACCTTTGGGTACCTGTGCGGTGTCAATAATTTTTAACCCATTCATTTTTGACGGGCTGGGCCGGGCTGGGCTTTGACACTTTTACCATGAATGGGCTCGGGCTGGGCCGGGCTGTGAACCCATGGGCCTGGGCTGGGCTGGACTAGGATTTTGCGGCCCGTGGCGAACACTAGGCTGTCACCCTGTTTTTGACAACAACAGAAGCAACTAGCAATTGCATTTTACTGGGCGAAAAGTTGACTTAAAAATAAAATCTAAAATACTCGTAGGCAGCTAAATGATGGCCTCAAGAAAAAACATCAACTCAGATGACGATGATTATGCTGCAGGCTCATGCTATTCCATTAGTACAATTCATGGTACAATCAAGCTCACGGCTATGTGAGATAGGAATCTGTTGCATGCATACTCAGCCTTTTTTCTCAGCCGCATGAAGTTTTGAGCCGTGAAGGGATAGCTGCGATCGGAAGTTGAAATCGCCTTTGAGGCGACGGGGACGATGTCTTTTCTGTTCATATTTTGATGGGAATTTCATGAGATAATGAAGAAGTCCGGTATTTTTTCCTTATGTTTTATAACTCTTTGAGAATATGGAGAGCCGGCGTCACCTGTACCCTCTGCGGTTCCGCTCACGCCACATGGGGCCCGCCGAGGCAGGTGGCCGATAAAGGCGATCGACTCATTACGGGTCGGTGCCAGCCGTCTGGCTGTACAGAGGTCACAGGACGCTGAACGGTCGATGGCGTGAGACCCTCCCCTGCCTCTCAATACCACTAGAACAGACCAGCCCCTATCCCCGCTTGCGCTGGGAGCGGGGGACCATTGCTGTCCCAGCACGTTCATTTGTGTGAACCGTAGTGACCATTGTGGTTTTACCTGCCGTAAATTTGCGGTGTAGCAGCCATGTACCCGTCTCCTTGGAATTTGTCATTTTTTGTTAAAACACAATTAGCAGGTGAAGTCCTTGTATGGGAATTTTAGTGCTATATTTTCATATCAAAATTGGAAAAGAAAGTATACCTACTTTGTAGAACTTGGTGTGATGGTATAATACGTTGTGGCAGAACCTGCAGAAGTGTAAAGTAATGGCAGAGGAAGGACAGCTTCACAGATGATATGCCAGCCAAGGACAGCATCATATTACTAGTACATGGGCTAGATACGCGAACTGGCAGCCCCGGATTATCTCACAGATAAACTGTCTTCTGAGGATTATCTCACATGTGCTCTGCCAGCCAATCGGGACTATCAAACAGATGATCTGCCAGCCGGGGATTATCTCACCTGAGAGCTGGTAGCCACGGATTATCTCACCTAGAAACTAGTAGCCGCGGATTATCTCACCTGGGGACTGGAAGCCGGCTGATAATCTATCAGCTTCATGAGCATCTCACAGATCACCTACCAGCCGATGACTGCCTTATCTGGAAGCAATGGTAACCGGCAATTAGCTCACCTTTGAATTGATAGCTGAGGACTATCTCACCTGGAAACTTGTAGCCGTGGATTACCTCACCTGGGAACTGGTAGCCCCGGATTTTTTCACCTGGGAACTGGTAGCCGAGGATTATTTCACCTCAGAACCTCCGGTGGTTATCTCACCTGGAAGCTTGGGAGCCGCGGATTATCTCACCTTTGAATTGGTATCCGAGAACTATCTCACCTGGAAACTTATAGCCGTGGATTATCTCAGCTGGGAACTGGAAGCCACGGATTTTTTCACCTGGGGACTGGTAGCCGAGGATTATTTCACCTCAGAACCTCCGTGGATTATCTCGCCTGGAAGCTGGGAACCGTGGAGTATCTCACCTGGAAGGCTAGGCAGGCGAACTGGCAGCCGAGGCAGCAGGCTAAGAGCGGGCCAAGGATGAACGACAGCACCCGGTAGCAGCAGTGCTTGGTGCCGTAGAAACACTTGTAGGAGGTGCGCCACGTGCAGTCGCCGCTCTGAATGCCCTCCGGCTCGGCAATGATGTCGTCCCACAGCACCTGTCGTCGGTGGGTCAAGCCTCGTCAGACACACTCAATAGAATGCAAAGAACGCGTGCAACATTTTTTGTTCATGTGGTTCACCTATCAATGAGAAATATTGAGATAATCTGTGAGATAAACAGTTCAAGTAAATATATTTCCTCCATTGTTCATCGCTAGTTATATACATGTATAACGTCAGCCACTGTGTATCATTATATGGTTGTTGATTTAGTCATCCACGCTACCAGTGAACAACTGCATGGACCGCGAACCCACATGGCAACAGGGCCTCGCCGATGGACACGCTAAGGTGCTGGTAAATGCCCAAAGTGGATAATTACCATGTGGTTAGCCTAAAAAAATGAGAGTCACGATTGAAAGGGAATGGCTCCTCTTATGCTGATTACTGTGCTTACACATGCAGTTGTATGATTTGAGAGAGCTCCTTGAATGCACACATCTCAGTCTCATCCCCACTATTTTTTATCATTAGGTATTCAGTGTTTTCGCGGCTCTCGTGCCCTCGATTATTTTACATAATCTTTGCCCTGATTTGACGAAGCGGTTTGCTAAAGCAGCACCTCTGCCTGGCAGTTCATTGAAGCTCTGACAAAACCCGAATACTTAATCATTACCTCAAATTAGTGTGGGCAATCTATCCGGGTATTGGCATGGTATATCATCCATGGCATGGTTATACGTGCCTAAGCTTGTGCCTACCAAAATATATGTGATGATGAATAATAAAATCGAGCAAAAAATTGCATGTGTGTTATGCGTGCATGATGTGTGCTGAAACAATGTACGCTGGCTATACAATATACATGTGTTTGCAAAAGCCTACTAAGTTTTAGGTTACCTATCCACTATTGATATGAAGATCGTCTCACATCCTTCATAAGATTAAATGTATGGTCACTACATTACAAGTTATTCCAAGGTCCACCTGACATACATCTAAGGTCATGTGGAGCTCATGCCAAAGGTCATCTGAAGGTCATCTGAGAGACCATCTGAAAGACTCAGTCTCTGAGAGGTGAATGTGGTGGGAAGGCTACCTACCTACCTAAGGTAGCTGTGTGTGACCGGGGTGGTGGTGGTGGTGGTGGGGGGGGGGGGCTGAAGGTCACGGACCACGTGTGGGACCAGTTGACCTAGGTGGGGGCGGCTGAATGTCACGGACCACGTGCGGGGCCAGGTGACCGGGGCCTGACGGTCACGGACCACGTGTGGGGCCGGGTGACCGGGGTGGGGGTGGGGCTGAAGGTCACGGACCACGTGTGGGGCCGGGTGACCTAGGTGGGGGCGGCTTAAGGTCACGGGCCACGTGTGGGGCCAGGTGACCGGGGCCTGACGGTCACGGACCACGTGTGGGGCCGGGTGACCGGGGTGGGGGTGGGGCTGAAGGTCACGGACCACGTGTGGGGCCGGGTGACCTAGGTGGGGGCGGCTTAAGGTCACGGGCCACGTGTGGGGCCGGGTGAGCGGGGGCTGACGGTCATGGACCACGTGTGAGGTCGGGTGACCGGACAGCTGAGAGCCGGGTGATCCCGGTGTATGAACAGAGATGGTGCGCCGGGCGGGCGCAGCCAGATACGATCGCGGCGTTCCTGACCGCCGCGCCGGCCGGTCGGACAATATCAGCACCCATCTGCCGGCCGCTTATGGCTCGCTGTTGTGCCGTGTCCGGCCGAGCGGTCTCGCTCTCGATATGCGCCAAACACTGGCGTCAGAGCGCCGGAGGGGAGCGGGGAGCGGGGAGAGGGAGCGGCGCCGCCCAGTTCAAGGTGGCCCCATAAACTGGAGCACCACGCCGGAAGCCGTCGGTGCTGGACGGGGCATGACGCGGGAACAGATGACAGACAGCGGCAGAGTGTGTGTGGTCACACTGTAGTGGTGGTTAGACGGAAAACCAGTTTTTTTTCTGGCAGTCCATTGTGGGAACAGCATTGGACTGCGCGGTCTATTACTTCTTGGTGGTAATGGCTCCATTTGTAATGTTTAGCGAGACATGAACGTCGCTGCAAAGCTTATTAATCAGATTCGTGAAACGTGTCTAACATAAGATTGTTGACAAATTTCCGCACAGAAATAGCGATGCACCATGCTTATTTACTAAATTACACATAAGTTTATTTTCTGATATATTCTTTGACGGCTGTGAAACTCCTGTAGCAACGCATTTGCTGTTGAGAAGTTTGAGGGCTTTGTCCTAAATCTTATTTGAACTAGGTACTAAATCTATGGTTAGCTTATGTGAACACCAATGAAGGTGCAAACCTTATTGTTTTACAACTACGTCGTGTTTACAATACATGCTGGAGCAAAGAGCAGAGCTGTTCGCACCTGAAGGTGAAGGTTGAGGTTGTTGGGATCCCGGGTGTCCATGCTGAATCCAGGAGTGTCCTCCATCGTTCCCATTGGCCTATTCGATATGTCGAAAATCCGAGTTCCTGGAAAAGAATGATTAGGAAAACATCAGCAAGATGGCAAATGAGGCTCGCTTTTTCCACTAATGCATTATAATGCGCGTAATGGTGCGCTTTTATCACGGATGTAGACTATAATCACGTGTTGAGCATGTGCTTTCCTAAAAAGTTTCAAAAAAATCGTCGCAAATAGTTATCAGTGCCTTATGTCGGTACTGTCGGTACTGTCGGTATTGTCATCTTTTTCACATTTCACATAATTGACAAAGTTAATAGTCACCATATTTAAACAACTGCAGATAGTAGGTACATTGCTGAAACTATTCAGATACGTTTTAGTCTTAGATTCCAAAATCTCAACAGTATTAGGGATTCTGGGCCCCATTAATGCCATTGTCAAAGCGATTAGTTGGCACACCATTCCGATGTTGCCGTGACGAACTCTGCACGCAGCCGCAGAGCTGGTGATATCGAGCGGTGTGCCGTTAAGACGTGCTGGCAGCCGGCGAAGTTCCAAAGCGGCTACTTAACTCCCTCGGTATCTGCACGACGATCGTTAGCGTGTTTACATTGGCCCCGTATTTCAATGTCTGGCAAACTCTAGTGATGAGCCGTCGCCGTGCAGCACCGGCCTGCTGATCGACCTTCTGGCAGAGTTCCGTGTCAATAGTACCCATCAAAAGGGAGACGCGGACAGACTAGACCATTCAATGAGGTGTTCGTAACTTCACACTGGTTCTGCATTCATCATGGTTCACATTTACCATAACATTGGGTAGGCGTATCAAAGTTTGAAATCAAGCCATCTGGCAAACCAATAATGCCGTTCGTCAAAGTGGGTTGCCTAATGAGTTATCGCGCGTAGGATCCACTGCTAATTGAACAACAGCTAGACGATTTTCCTGCGTTCAGAGATGATGCAACGTCAATGATATGACACATATCCGTTATTGGTCATGACTTTGAAACTTGAAATGATCTACTAGCACATGCACCTAGTCCCACACTCATACTGCATTCGCGTGTACATATTGTGCAATGTGCATTTTGCATATATAGCTTACGATCAAAATGCGCCCAAGCACGACTTCAGCATATCATCAAAACATGCGAAATTGCCCAAACAAGTTTCGTCAAAACAGAAATCGGCATGCTGAAAGAGTGAAGGCGGCTTCCATGGAGTAATCATTGAGTAATTGCATCTTATATTCATTTTCCGCTGTCCTTTTGCTGCTGCTGAATGGCTTTTACTGGAATGGTCTTGGTTTTATACGCTCATGTTGCTTCATAATGATTATGATATCTCACAGGTTTATCGCAAAAACATGACAAACATTGCAATGCATGACGGTAAATAAGATATTGATCATAAACCTATGACGATATTGTCAATTATGTGAGTGTTTAATTTCTGAGGAGAAATCACAAAGCATATCTTAGGACTTTAATTTACATAATTACAGCTATGGCCAACAGATATGCAATGAATAATTTGTAAGCCAAAGCTATAATCGTGAATAGAATTAACATAATAATGACAACCATTTTGATAAAGAATCAAGCGAGAATGATCAGCTTTGCAAATGTACAGACAGTTCTTTGAACCTACTTGCGCCTAGTTCATATTTCAGAATATCACTCTACGAGCTTTATTCTTTCACAACTACACACGTAATCCGAATGTGCTGACACATTTTTGCATGAAACCCATTCGCATTCCTATTCATTATGCTACAATAACAGGTGATATACGGCGAGGCAGTGGACAGACAGCTGCAGCAGCACGACACGACCCACGACTGCTGTTTTGCCCCTGTGCACATAACACACGCGGGCTCGGACATTCTCAACACGCTGTCGTGACCAGCCTTGTTTGCTCTGTCTACGGCCACCCGAATCATCGAAAAAAAAAACACCCAATAACGACGCACACATACCTGCTTTCATAATAGCCGAGCGTCGCGCCGATTGGTGGAGCAAGGCCGGCACGTGACAGCACGGAAATGGCACGGAACGGACGTGAAATGCCACGAAACGGGCACGAAACGGACACGGAACGGACACGGAACGGACACGGAACGGACACGGAACGGACACGGAACGGACACGGAACGGACACGAAACGGAACGGACACGAAATTGACACAGAACAGTCACGGAACAGTCACGGAAGTGGCCGGGAATGATCACGGAACGGACACAGAATGTGCACGGAATGCAAGAAAGAGATCGAGCCGTTCCGCACAATCCTCACGGACTACTGGCGGAGCCGCCGACCGTCGCCGTCCCCCTCGGCCGTCACGGCGCGAAGTCGGCTCCGTCACGCGACGCCTGCGTCGACGCCGACAGAGCAGCGCCGCCGCGGCGGTCCGGTGCCGGACGCGTCACTGACAGTGACCCACTATTGTTACGCCGGCCGCGTATCGATTAACCCCCATGCCGTGACCAGTGGAACCCAGTCACGAGCGGTCGTGGACGACTGCTGGACCGGCGCCATTAGACCACGATTGGGGGTGGATGACTCGGAGGGCCAGGGGGACACTCAGCGGGCCAGGGCCGAGTGGACTGTGGACACTGGACGACCGGGCCAGGGCCGGGTGGACTGTGGACACTGGACGACGCTCGGCGGATCAGGGGTGGGCGCTGGACAGCTCAGTGGGCCAGGGGTGCACAGTAGACAGGGACCACTCGGCGGGTCAGGGGTGAACAGTGGATAGTGAGCAGCTGCTCTGCGGACCAGGGGCGAACAGTACATAGACAGTGTGGAGGGCCCGGGATGGGCAATGGACACCGGACGGTCGGCATATCGGAGGGCTCGGGTGGGGCAGTGGACGCTGGACAGCTCGGCGGGCCTGTATTGGATACCGGACAGCTCGGTGGGCTGGGGGTGGATAGCTCGACGGGCCAGGGGGTCGAGAATGGACAGCTCAGTGAGACAGGGTCAAGAGTGGACAGCTCGCCGGACCAAGAGTGGGCACTGGACTGGATATCATGGACAGCTCACAGAGCCAGGGGTGGACGGCGAACACCGAATAACTCGGCCGGGCCAAGGGTGGACAGAAGACAGTTCGGCGGGCCAAGGATGGGCACTGAACACTGAACAGCTCAGCGGGCCAGGGGTGGAGAGTGGGCAGCTCAGGGGGCCAGACACTGGACCGCTTGGCAGGCCAGGGGTGGACACCTCCGGGGTAGTCGGTTCGGTCGACCATGGGTAGTCGTTCCTGCTCGGCAGGTCGATATTTGTTCCGTTTCTTGGAAATGACGTGCCAATGTCGTTGAGTGCAAACAGTGACGTATGTAACTACGTGTGCATATTTTGCACGCGTTTTGCGTGACCTACCAACGTGCACCAATGTTGAATGTCAAGTTAAGAAGGTCAATGGAAACCGTGCCACCGCTGTCCCTGCCGAGGCGTGCTATATCAAAAGAATGAATAATAATGGGCAGGGCGTAGTAGTCGTCATGGAGAGTCGTACACGTTTCATTTACAATAGAGTAGAACGTGACGTCATTCACCCGACTGCGTGGCACCGATTTATAGGGGTGGCGCCAAGAGCCTGAGTGGCAGCTGCAGCCAGAGTGGCCCGCTTACATCAACACAAATGTTAGAATTATTTTAGGAATGTTTTGCCGTTTATTTTGGTGGCTGATTAACCCGCGCACCCTTCGCACCGACGGGGGGGGGGCGGATGACCACCCCCCCCCCCCCGAGATCTCGAGATCCCCCCGAGATAGCGACAAGCGGTAAACGGCATCGGATACGCACGGACAAGGTCTACAATTTTTACTAAGGTCATTTTCAGGTCAGGTCAAAGATGACGTCACAGGGGTCGAAAAAGTCAAAATGGCGGCGCTAGATATGGAGAGTTTTCTCGAATAACTTTCGAATTAGTCAAGATAGGAACAAACTAAGGGCATAACCGTGATCCTCTCGTCAATCCGCATCGAATGATATATATATATATATATATATATATATATATATATATATATATATATATATATATATATATATATATATATATATATATATATATATATATATATATATATATGTTGACCTCGAAAGGTCAAGGTCAAAGGTTGACCTCAGGTCACGTGACCTCGAGGTCATCATGTATATCATTCGATGCGTCTTGACGAGCTGAACACAATGAGACCATCCACGCGTCTGTATCTTGTTCCTGTACGGAGTTATTGGCCAAAAACCTTTGGTGACCTTTGATGACGTCACATGACCTCACAGCTGCCCAACAGCAAAACATACCTCAAGGTAGTGAAGGTTGATCGTATATGAAGTCATGTATGGTATATGGAGCCATTCTGACCCGTTTTAGTGGTAAAAACAGGGAGTTGATTTTTCCCCCATTGACTTATAATGGGGAGGTCGCGAAATTGACCTGACCTTAGGTCACCGATATCAAAATTCCGAGATAAACAAATTGTAGCTACTAATGACCTAATAACATCCTGCGACTTTCAAAGGCCTCCGACATCTACTGTAGCTCTGGTACGGTGACAAAGTTGCAAAAAAGTGACTTGAGGTTGGGTCATTCAAAGTGACCTGGTGACCTGACCTTAAAAGTTAGGAGGTTCAAACTTGCACACCATGTGTAAAATTGATGAGAGAATAGTCGAACCAAATTTCGCGGCGCGTAGCGCCGCGGTTTTCCCGCTATCCGCGAAAAACCTCAGGGGGGCGGATATCCGCCCCCCGTCGGTGCGCGGGTTAAACTTTAATTACGTGCGCTCATGCTCTCTTTCATCATTTCTTTTGAATCAACTAGGTTGGCGTCAGTCGTCGTCACAAACACAAAAGTAAGTTCACTAACCACATAAAGTCCTTGTCCAGATCGCATGGGAAGCTGTATTCAGCACCGAAGTCTGTTGGACCTGGGTTTCCCTACATTGAAAAGACATCTGAGCCGATCAATTCTCTAACCTCAATAAAGTGAGGTCGACGGTTTATACCTTCCGAAATCCGACTCACTGACTAGGCGCAACTTCAGCGTATTCACATTTCCAGCAAATCAACTTACACCAAACGCTGTGCCGGCGCCAGACCAGTACCGTTGTAGCCCATGACTGTCTAGAAGCACCACCTGTGCAACGCAACAGATCACTATGTTATCGGTCTTCTCTAGACCCGGTATCGCGGCATCACACGTGGTCATGCAGCGCGTTTAGTCACCGTTGCAGGTCCGCGGCATTCTATCCTGCAGCGCAAACGACTCAGCCAAATGACCCAGACACGCTCAGGCGGACCGACGCACAGTTACTGCGCCGGGCCCCTGCCAGTGCGTGTGGGCCGCTCTGCGCAGTATCTCTGAGCGTTTCTACTCAGAGTGGTGTGTAATTTACGGCGTCATCAGGTGATTGGAAGAGGATGTAGTGTGTCGCGATTAGGAGAGATGACGAGGAAGGAGGAGTCGTTTAGAGATGTGGAGCTTGCATACTTCACAGAGAGAGAAAAAGAGGAGGGAGAGAGAGAGAGAGAGAGAGAGAGAGAGAGAGAGAGAGAGAGAGAGAGAGAGGGAGGGAGGGAGGGAGGGAGGGAGGGAGGGAGGAAGGGAGGAAGGGAGACGATAGCTAGCACCCAGGGCTGTCATATCAATTGTACGACACGCAAGGTGTCTTACATAATATAAGAAAATACTGCGTACTTTCTTATCCATGCGTTTGGGTACATGACTCAATATACGCTAGGACATACGAAACACCTCAATTAAATTTAGACTCTCTGAAACTACCCAAACTGTTACGTAGTTCCATATTTCATTATTCATGATGTAGTTAGTTTCAGATTCATGATTTGCAGCGCGCCCGCACCCTCCTAAAACTACCTGTCGATAAAAACAAGCTTCTTTATCTGAGCTATGTCACATTTCGTCCGTCTACGTCTCGAGTTTTGTTCATAGACACTTTTGACAGCCGTGTCCCCCAGCAACAATTAATCAAATATTGACTGTGGGGGCCCGCCAGCGCTTTGCCATCGCATGTTGTCCGGGGTTGCAGTGGAAATGAGAGCCTGTTGCTTTATACGACAGTCGACAATGGGGTCGTGCGAGCGACCATTCAGTCACCGTGAGTGGTGATTCCATTCATGATGCTCAAAGCAGCGACACAGTGATGTGATGAATGATGTACAATGTGCATTGAACGTAGCGCTTTATTTCAATTCATGATTTTGATTCATGTTACTTGAAGTGCATTTCTGACAAATATTATTGAAAAGTATCGGAGAACTCAGGTCTGGTTTACAATATGTAGAAGAAAAACACATTTCTTACGAAAAGTGTTTTAACTATTTAACACAAACAGCGGCGTATTTAGAAAATCGCGAAGGGGGGGGCCAAGGGTTTGGAGGGCGCCACCTCACCCAAGGAGGGCGCCATACGGTCGCGAGATAAAAAATCGCTCAGTGGGGGTTGGGGGGTTGGGAGGCGTTTTTTACCATGCCACCAGTTTTTTTTTTTTTGCGTAACCTCGTATAGGTCGTGCTGCATTGATTTTGCATCGTGTGTATTCATTATACTCCAGGTCACAAAAGGTCAAGTGTTCTTGAAATGCTGCGCCGAAGGCGCGCGAAATTTTTGAAAACAACCTTTTCCTCCGCTTTTTAGGCACGCCTTTTATACGATCACTGTTCAAAGCTCCTCTCGCTCTTTTACCAAATTTGCAGGTGTAAAAAATACCTAAGGTTTGGTCGGGCTGCTGCCACACAAACTGTACAGAAAGCTTGGCTCATGGGTGTCGATGTATAAAAGTTTATTGGCGGTGGCATATCTACGCACCAGATCACCGTATCGGATTGATACCGGAACGCGAGATGCGTAAACATCATCCAAATTACCTCAGACCAGCCTTCATAGCCTTCTCACAGATGCATACAGTGTACCCACATAACCAGTTTCAATCACCGAAACTTCAGATGCCTGCTGTTGCGCCCGAACCTGTTGACAATACTTAATCGTAATCCATATAGATGCCATGATGCACGTAAAGTAGGAT